TTTGGGTATGAAGAAGGAGACCGCAGACCTGGCTGGAGGCGACTTCTGGCGTGGAGGAGAGTAAGGCGGATGGGGAGGCGGTTATTGTTTGGAGGGAGAGTCCCCCTCGACAGGAAGCCACGACCACGTGTCACAGTGGGGAAAATGGCCGCGGGTCGTGTTCATCACCCGATGCGGAGTTCGCGAACGGAAGCAAAATTTTGCGAACGGTGCTGTTCATGAACCAAATTGTTCATGAACAGAAGCGTTCGTGAACCGAGGTATTACTGTACTTAACATACAATTATATGCTTCCTCCCACAGAAGGAAATGCTGCTGCTTTGGGTATGCTTGCAGCAACTTGAGTGCATCAACTAAAACAAATCGCCTTCTAAATATTATTTTATACACATGGACATTATTTATTGAATTGATTCGTTCCTCATTTAACTCATATATTGTAATTAATTAGTGACAATCTTTTTTTTTTTTATGATATTCCTAATACTATAGTGGAGTGCTTGGATTCACTTTGGAGCATGAAGGGGTGTGAACACAGTACCCCTTGATTGTAGCCGCTGCATGATCCTGGGAAAAGATCTAGTTGCTTTCAGAAATGGCAGACAGATGCTACTTTGGCACCAAAGCACTTTTTTGGGAACTGAATCTCACATGAGCCACAGCAATAAATCCTAGTAGAAGTTGCTCATTTACAATATTCCAGTAATACTTTTATCATCCATAATACTAGAAATTGATAGTGATTCACATGCTTGATTCCTTATGTGCAAGATAGCCCCTGATTGCAGGTTTAGCATGAGTGCTCCGTGCATTTTCTCCTTGTCTGTTAAACAGCTCAAAGCCAACATCCTCTTATTTGCTTGATATTGATATCAATAGGTTTTTGCTAATCACATTCTTCATTTTTTATGTAAATGAAAAGTCTCAGAAGGCTCTAAGCGATCTATTTGCTGCCACTTCTTGCTTTCTGTGTCTGCAGGATTGAATTTCTCTTACTGTTCTATAATAACTGTAAAACAAAGGGTAAAGTGTACTTTTGGCTGATAAGAAAAAAATCCATTAAAGTGACTTTCCATCAGTCAGTGTCTCTAAGCCCAACCTTTCTTACAGGGTTGCTAATATAATAACGTTGGAGCGCTGTATGAATGCTCTCTTGAGCTATGGGCAGAAGATGGAATGTAAATCTCAACAAACAAGTGAATGGTTGTACATTTACGAAAATTGTTTTGTTCTATCAGCCCAATTTCTGAGAGCTTCATCTGATGAGACTCTTCTTTTGCTGAAATGTATTCAGGGACCGGAAGTAGAGGCAGAAAGAAAAAACAGATTCTTTTATGCTGTACTCAGCCTGCTATTAACTTTACAAGAGTAACCATAAGATTCTCTCAATCACCACAGTCCAATATAGATGACAGTTGTCTAGTGTCTTGAATAGGACACATAGAAACCTCCTTCCCCACGCAGTCTAAACAGTAATCATAACTGATCCATTATACACCTTCTGTCCCATTTCTGCTTGCAGTTTGTGGCTTTAAACCAATACCAGCCCTAAAGAAATAAAATTGAAATCATAGCCATTGGCTTTCCTTGAGTAATATAATGGAAATTTTTAAAGGCTGAACAGGAGACTTTGATGTTTTAACTGTGTCAAGACAGTTAAAACATCTGCTTGCATGGTTGATAAAAATCACTCGTAAATCTTGCATATGGAAAAAAGCAAGGCTAGTAATTTTCTGCTGAAATTCAGGTATCTGCAACAATGAATGTGAATATTTGGGAAATATCTTCTTTTGCTTTTTACCCCACAGCCATATGATGTCAATTTACAAGTCACATCTGTATTGTCCAAGCTCTCCTTGTTTCCACATCCACATATTCATGAATACCTTTTGGATCCCTATGTAAACCTGGCTTCTGGCTGCCGTTCTCTTTTTTCAGTAATTGTTAGAGTAAGTATGCCACCTGATTAGTCTCATAGTTGTGTAAATGTGAATGGTGTTGCTGCTGAGCAATTGGAGACAGAAGGCAGCTTTTATTTTTGTTAATGTTCATATTTTCTTCAATGCAATTTCATCAGGTGGACTAGAGTGGGAATTGATGGGGTTCCTGGGACCCGTATGGGCCACAGAGAGGGGCCAAGAATTGCATGAAGCCCACATATGTCCATATGTACTTTAGAAAGTTGAATTTGATTTCTTATCACCAGATGCAGATCCAAATAATTACACTGACTCTTTGCTTCATTTCATTCAATGTTTTGGGGATAATAGGTTGTTGGGGATCTCATGGTACGGATTCAGCGCATACCTGATTTCACACCTAAACTTCTACTGGTCAGGAAGCGTCTTCTTGGTTTAGAACCGGAAGGGCCTATGTAAGTATATGCATTACCAGTCCAATACAGATTGTTTCCTAATGACATTGTATGGCTTCTTAATTAATTCCTTGTCTTCTCTTCACAGTGTTGACCACATGACATTACTTGAAGGTGTGATAGTATTAGAAGAGTTTTGTAAAGAGCTGGCTGCAATTGCATTTGTGAAATACCACTCTTCATCAACACCATGAGCAGCAATCTTGGGTTGTTGAAATTTCATGATCATTTAGGGTTTCAGTCAGAAATGGCTGATAAATCTTCCCAGGCAAGAAAGCAAAAAAGCAAAGCATTGGCATTCATTTGGAAAGTTGATATGGGACACATTCAAATTGTAGAAGTGCTTTCTTCGTTCATTGGCAGTAGCCACTTGGAAATGCAAAACAGACATCTTACCATCAATGCAAATCAAGGGATAGTGGCCCAAAAAAAAGTAGCATGCTTCAAGAGTTACAGCGATTGGGACTTTAGTTAAAACATTTTCTTTTAATAACCTTCTGGGAAGTAGGAGTTTTTTTTTTTTATTTTTATATATATATATATATATATATATATATAT